TCCCTTTTTTTCTCGCTTTCACGTGCTCTCTCTCTCTCTCTCTCTCTCTCTCTCTCTCTCTCTCTTTCTGCAGGAATTGTACCTCAGTCTCTTGATGAGTGGGTGGTGCTCCTCCAGCTCTCCCAGCAAATCAGTTCAAGCGACGAAGCCCCGGCGGCTTCAGCTCTACCCAGCAGCCCCAATGGATCCTGTTCAGACGACACTAACGGCACGAGCGATAGTTCTCCCGACCTATCAGACGGTTCGACTGACTGGAGCATTCGCATCAGCCCAGAGAACGTCATCCTGCGTCTGATGCAGGTGTTCGGGCCGGACCGGGCCCTGACGGCCCTCCAGGAGCACGGGATTCAGGTGGATCTCGGTTCACGCTCCACACTGGTCTGCGATCTGCTTCGTATGGCTGAGAAGCGGCAAAGGTGAGAGCGTGGAAAATGGTAGTGTGCTCTTCAGTAAGCAGTAGGGCTGGGTAAAAAATCTCGATTTTAAATCGATTCTCATTTTTATGAAGTGATATCAATTCATAAATCCCAAGAATCGATTAGTCTAGCCAGTCAGATAATGAACGGAAGATTGTAGCGCGCCTCCCATCCAATAAATTACAATAAGCTTTGTGATTTGTTACTTTTGATATGAAACAAAGTCTGAGGTTTCAAATTCTGTCCGTTTTATTACAATATTCAAATATTAAATGCCGTTTCGGCACTGTTTAATGTGGAGTGACAGATCGGTGCAGCGCCTCGGTTACTGAACTGATCATCTCCTCTGCTTTAATAGCAGTTACAGCATGAAATAAACATGAATGAACATACGAAGGTATGTTAAAAGAAAGAGTGCAACTACCAAAATCCGTATCCTGTCTCATGTAATCGCTCAGTCAGTGTTTCAAACGCGGAAATAGCTTGTGAACATTGTGTCACATAACGTCACATAGAAAAATGAATTCTAGAGAGGTGCATTTTGCTAAATATGCACCATATAACATATTCATTATATTTTTTTTTACTGTTCTTCAATATTTAATTTATGTTTAATTAAATCCGACAAGTTTTTGTGACAGCCACCGTTTAAATATTTAAAAAAACTAATTGGAGTAGAAATATAGTTATGTAATTTAAAGTTAAAGTTAGTATTATAACTTTAATATTACAAAAACTTTGAGTATATTTTAAGTGTTTGTACACAAATCAGCAAATTTTAACCTTCCATATTATTGACTGTCGCATACGAAGGTATGTTAAAAGAAAGAGTGCAACTACCAAAATCCGTATCCTGTCTCATGTAATCGCTCAGTCAGTGTTTCAAACGCGGAAATAGCTTGTGAACATTGTGTCACATAACGTCACATAGAAAAATGAATTCTAGAGAGGTGCATTTTGCTAAATATGCACCATATAACATATTCATTATATTTTTTTTTACTGTTCTTCAATATTTAATTTATGTTTAATTAAATCCGACAAGTTTTTGTGACAGCCACCATTTAAATATTTCCAAAAACTAATTGGAGTAGAAATATAGTTATGTAATTTAAAGTTAAAGTTAGTATTATAACTTTAATATTACAAAAACTTTGAGTATATTTTAAGTGTTTGTACACAAATCAGCAAATTTTAACCTTCCATATTATTGACTGTCGGGTATATTTTACAGCATTAGTTGAGAGATTTTTTTTTTCCTTGAGAAAATTTGCCATGTTTTGTACCTGATATATATCCAAAATCAATATTGTGAAATTTGTGTCGAAACCCAGCCCTAGTAAGCAGTATGCTAGTATTCAATGCAAGACTTAAATGTTTTTAAAAATATAAATATAAAAGTATATACTACATAGTATGGTAATATTCTATTCCAAACATATTAAACTAGCATACTAATTATGACTCTTTACTATTTCTGCCATATGAAGATATGGAAGAGATAGAAAGAGAAGTATAGTAGTATGCTAACTTTTTGAAAATTAGTATGCAGTCTACAGTATATACTCCACAGTATCCACTAATATTCCATTTCAATCTAATTGTTTTTGGAAAATACTAGGCAGTGTTTATCATATAGCAAGCAGAGTGGAAGTATTCCATTACGAACATATTAGTTGATATTGGAATAGCATACTAGCATATGACTTTTAGTATTTCTGTCAAATAAAATTATAAGTAGAATAGTAGTACGAGTAGTATAGTAGTATGCTATTTTGAATTTAAACATTGTTTTTGAAAAATAGTAGTCCATTCCGAACATATTGGCTGACTTTGGAATTCAATACAGCATACTATTGCTATTTCTGCCATAATATGATATAGGAGAAAGAGTAAGAGTAGTATAATAGCTTGCTATTCGGATGTAGACATTATTTTTTAGAAAATAGTCAGATGTTAATATTGCATTCCAAACATGTCATTTTAGGAAACTACTAGGCAGTGGACAGTATATACCATTATGACCATATTTGTTTTTGTATCCTGTATACTATTTTGGAAAATAGTAGGCAGGGTACAGTATATACTGCGCAGTATACTTGTGTTCCATTCTGAATGTAGGTAATGTTTAACAGTTTCTGTCCTCATGTATTCATTCTTTTGTGTTTTCTCTCTGACATTTTAGAGCACTGATTCAGACCATGTTGGAGCGCTGTGACCGGTTTCTATGGTCTCAACAAGCTTAAAACTCCCGTGTCCACTTGATCTCCACATATGCCTCCAGGACATACATGTAGTATTTTGTCTCCTGTTTCCTATTTAGCTATTTAATAAGCTGCTGACACAGTATTAACAATGGACCTTTTATGTTAAACATAAATCCATTAGTACATAAATTATCATATTGAGTTGAATGGAACAATTTATGTAAGAATGCTTCAATCTACACTTCCATGTTCATTAATGAGGCACAACGTGTTTTCATGTGGTTTTAGGACTATACAGGATATACAGTATATTCCTTGAATATATAAAATAAATGACACTATATATACAGTATATATGGAAAATAAATAAATAAATGCATATATAATTATCTATTTAAATATAAAAAGTATTTGAGAACCTTGTCTAATAACTAACAAACCTGTGTTCTTTTAACAGAGACAACTATAAATAATTGCGAATGTATGAACTAAAAGAGTTTTTGTAACTAATGCCATGTGACTCAGCTGGTTTAACAGGCGTCTCTTAATGAAAAGCACAACAAATACAAGGATCATGTTCATTTATATAACCATGTTGAAAGTGTCGTTTCTTTGAACGCACGACTGAGAGAATCTCTCTTCTTCGCTCTTCATGCAAACTAACATAATTTGAGTGGATGGAAAGACTACTAGCAATGACTTTGTGAGGTTTTTATGCAGGTCATTTTTTCGCGCCGACACTAGATTTGGATTGTAAATGGATGTGCTGCGCTATGCAAACACATTTACATCTTGTGCCAGCTTGTGGGTCCGTGAGGCATGTGCTCCCATCAGACGTAAAGTTATTCACACCTGTCCCGAGTGCTGCGTCAAACCTGGCGAGAACAACAGCCTTTTAAAGTCATCGACCTGGAATCCCCGTAGTTCTCCTCACTTTGCAATTTCTCTTATCAGACTTTCAGAACTCTGTGTTTTTCTCTGTTGCTCCACTGACCTCTTTTCCAGGTGTGTCTTCTATCAGATCGTTCCTGTGCCAGCAGAAGTGTCATCCGCAGGTGGGCAGAAAGAAGGCGGATTACGGGAAACATTAACGAACTCCTGACACTAAATGTAAAAGGAATGAATAGTTTACCCAAAAATTAAAATTTGCTGAAATTTTATTCACCCTCGGGCCACCTGAGATGAGTTTGTAGATGTGTTTTCTTCATCAAAACCGATTTGAAGAAATGTATATCATTCCATCACTTGCTCACCAATGGATGTGAATGGGTGCCGTCAGAATGAGAGTCCAAACAGCTGATAAAAACATCACAGTAATCCACAGCACTCCAGTCCATTAGTTAATGCCTTGTGAAGTGAAAAGCTGCGTGTTTGTAAGAAACAAATCCATCATTAAGACGTTTTAAACTCCACACCATTGCTTCCGAGTCCTCTATCAATAATAATCCTTCTCCAGTGAAAAAGTCACCTGTCTGAATCGGGAGAGAACTCTAGCACTGTTTACAAGCAAAAACCGTCCAAAACGGCTCTAAACAAATATGTGGGTGGATGTTGATGAAAGAGACAACAGAAGATGGACTTTTTCACTGGAGGAAGTGTTATTATGGATTATGGACTCCTATTTTGGCCAGAAGCAATGGTTTAAAGTTAAAATGTCTTAATGATGGATTTGTTTCTTACAAACATGCAGCTTTTCACTTCACAAGGCATTTACTGATGGACTGGAGTGGTGTGGATTATTGTGATGTTTTTATCAGCTGTTTGGACTCTCATTCTGACGGCACCCATTCACATCCATTGTGAGCGAGTGATGCAATGCTGCATTTCTCCAAATCTGATGAAGAAACAAACTCATCTACATCTTGGATGGCCTGAGGGTGAGTGAATTACCAGCAAATTTTCAATTTTGGGGTGAATTATTGCTTTAAGGTTAAGTGTGTCTCGTCCTGCCGCATTTGTGCTCCAGACATGAATTTTTCCTCAAATCGTGTTTTGTTGAGAAAAGGTGTGCTGATACTTTACTTGGACCATAATAAGATCATAAAACTGCCGATAAACTCAGAATTTCAAGGACGGACCCAAGCCATATCAATAAACCATATACCCAAAACACCCTAAAAAAAAAACACCTAGAACACCTTCACAACCACTGCTTACTTTCTGTTCAGAAGGCAGTGGCTCTCTCTGACTTGCATGAGGAGTGATTGTGTTGATAACCCGGTTAGATAGAGGATGATGGGTTTGGATCGAGAGGTTATTAGGGCAGGACAGTCGCTCCGTGTGTGTTCGGGACTGTTTGATGTTGAATTGTTGTCACCAGTCACACAGATAACAGAATTCTGCACATACCTGTAGACCAAAGCCAGCGTATAAAAGTCAGTCCTCGACATAACCTTCTCATACACATAATTACACAGAATTGTAGTCATGCACTATATAATAGTTCAGATGGTGATATATTAATACTCTGGCTTTTTAAACACTTAATTGAACATCATTTTTCTGTATTCATTGTAATTTATTTACTATATTTTTTGTACATTAATGTACACAAGCCCACTTATACTTTAGTTTTGAAGCAAGAGCAAAATGTGATATATTTTACAAAAACAAGAGTGAGAATTCAAGACCGTACAGATGGACACAACATGCTTGGTAAGTACAACTAAAAAAGAACACCATATTTTGCATAATAGCTGCATATATATGTTTATATTTTTATGCATATATATATATATATGTATATATATTTTTGAGTAATTGCTTTTAAATGTGTGTGTATATATATATATATATATATCTGTATTTATTTATTTGAAAAAAAATTTGATTTAATGTTTGGTTTATTGAGCATCAGCAGCCATAAATATGTATATTTTTCTCATTGCAGGAATCCTTCTCATGCTTGATTCTTTCTGTATTTGTGATATTGTGTCTGCCGCTGTCAGCCACATCTCATTTTCCTTCCCAGAATGCAACAGGTACTGAAGTACACTTTATAGGTCCAGTTAGTATTTCTCTGGGTAGCAAAAAAAAGAATGAACTTTTGAAGTTTTTAGCTGCTTACTTTCTATAGAGTACAACTGTCAGTTACATATGTGACCCTGGACCACAAAACCAGTCATGAGGGTCAATATTTCGAAATTGAGAATTATCTGAATAAATAGCTTTCCATTGATGTATGGTTTGTTAGGATAGGACAATATTTGGCCGAGATACAACTATTTGAAAATCTGGAATCTGAGGGTGCAAAAAAATCTAAATATTGAGAAAATCACCTTTAAAGTTCTTAGCAATGCATATTACTAATCAAAAATTAAGTTTTGATTTATTTACAGTAGGAAATTTACTAAATATCTTCATGGAACATGATCTTTACTTAACATCCTAATGATTTTTGGCATAAAAGAAAAATCTATAATTTTGACCCAGCCAAAAATATATTGTGTATATTGCTACAAATATACCCCAGCGACTTAAGACTGCTTTTGTGCTCCAGGCTCACATATAAAGTTCACAATAAGACATTTGAATTCCATTATTGCATTTTTGTCAATTCAAATATCAAAAGTGAATGGCAGGTTTTGAAGTGAAATGTTTTGTGGTGTTTTTCAGTGTATTTGGGATCTAGTTTCATTCATGAAGCTTTACGCAGAGCCAGAGAGCTGACAGACGCCGCGTATTCTCACACCAATGAGAGGTGAGACATACAGACTTTAGTCAAAGTCAAAATGGAGACAAAAAACAGACCCAAATGAGTCAGTAGTTGTCCTACAGTAAGGCTATAGAGCTATAAAATGATTTATTTTCTATTCTATGTTTTGTGTTCGCTCTCTCATTTTTCTATCAGAGTGAAGACGTCCGTTTCAGACGGTTCTGTCCGACCCAGTGACCTGCTGGCCTTGTTCAAACAAACCGGCCCGAAAACCAGAAGCCACATCACATCCGCCGAGTTTCTGGATAATACTGTAGAGCTGATCAGAGAGATGGTTTACACACACTCCATGGACAAACCCGACCTCACCGGTACGCACTCATACATTTGGGTCATTTACAAGTACATGCATGACTCTGAAGTCATATCAACATCAGATGTGTGCGTTTCAGAGCTTTTAAGTGCAGAAGATATGGAGACCATACTGCAGGTAACAGGCTGTTCCTCAGAGACGCTGAGACACGTGTGTAAATCTGACTGTGTGTCCAAACGCTACCGTACCATCACAGGACACTGCAACAACAGGTACATGCACATATGTGAGCCTGGAGCACAAAAGCAGTGTTAAGTTGCTGGGGGATATTTGTAGCAATAGCCAACAATACATTGTATGGGTCATAATTATCCATTTTTCTTTTATGCCAAAAATCATTAGGTTATTAAGTAAAGATCGTGTTCCATGAAGATATTTAGTAAATTTCCTACTGTAAATATATCAAAACTTAATTTTTGATTAGTAATATGCATTGCTAAGAACTTCATTTGAACAACTTTAAAGATGATTTTCTCAATATTTAGATTTTTTTGCACCCTCAGATTCCAGATTTTCAAATAGTTGTATCTCGGCCAAAAACAAAACATACATCAATGGAAAGCTTATTTATTCATCTTTCAGATGATGTATAAATCTCAATTTCGAAAATTGACCCTTGTGACTGGTTTTGTGGTCACATATTTGATATTTGATACACATCAAAATATATCATCATTCATTCAGTTTCCGTTCTCAAATAGCATCATGTTTGCTTTTATCAGTGCTGTTTTTTGACTTTGCAGAGAAAACCCTCAATGGGGGGCGGCAAACACCCCTTACGCCCGCTGGCTGTCGCCGGAGTACGAGGACCCTCAAGGGGCCCCCAGGGGCTGGAACCCACAACACACCTACCACAACCACACACTACCACCTGTAAGAGTGCAGGACAGTCTGAGAAAACAGAAGGAGGTTGAATTATTAGTCTGTAAACATAGTTAGGTCTTTATAGAAATTTCTTCCTAAATTTAAAATTTTGTGTGCTTTATTAGCCTGACAAAACATTTACATTCATATTGTTAGAGTGTTTGGACATCATGAGAAATGGTGTATTATAGTACATGCTACACACAATGGGAAATGCTGCTAAAAATTTACAAAAAAAGGAGAAATTACATTATTATTATTATTATTATTTAAATAAAATAAAAAACAAAATGATTCAAATAATAGAATTAATTATTATAAAAACGGATTTAAATAATATTAACAAATAAAATAATCCTAGCGCAACAATAAACAATTAAACTCATTTATTTTAATAATAATAATTGAAATTTAATTTAAAATGCAACTTACTATGCAATCAATAAATGTAATAAAAAGGAATTAGTTAAAGAAGTAACCTTGATTAAACAAGTAGTTGAAAAGCGAAGTGTGTATTTTTTGAAATTGCAATATTGGCTCAGCCATGGCAGAGATTTTAGTCTTATTTTGAATCAATATTTTGAATTAGCTTTAATTTTCATACTTTTCGGGTTTCCTTTTAATTTAATTTTAGTTAAGTTTTAGCAATTTTTTTATGTGCCTTTTGTTATTTTTATAAATGTTTTCAGTTTTACTTCAACTTCAACTTATTTCCTAGGTAACTTAAAAATGTTTAAGTATTTTTTTATTTTATTTTATTTTATTTTAATTAACAAAAGCCGTTTTTAATAGTTTTATTTAACAATTGCAACACTGTTGCTTAGAACTTTGAAAATAGTAACTTTTTGCAATTCTGTTTGGTGCCACCAGTGGCGTAAAAATACACTACACACCTAAAAGTAAGACTCCAAAAGGGGGTTTTCACAGTCGTGTGTGTGTGTGTGCGTGCATGCGTGTGAAGAACATTTTCTGGATCGTACAGGTTCCAAGGATGTTAAAGGTTCTTCATGGAACCACAGAGGCCAATAAAGAACCTTTAGTTTTAAGTGTCACTAAACTAAAGAAAAAAATAAGACCAAATGAGCCGATAATGGTAACAAACAGAAGTTTAGTCTTCCAGACTCTATCAGATCATAATCTCTCTTTCCAGGTCCGGCGTGTGTCGCAGGAGGTTTTGTACACTCATAATGAGAACATCTCTCTGGACATGTCTCTGTCTCATCTGCTGGTGGAGTGGGGTCAGTGGATCGATCATGACCTGACCTTGACCCCTCAGAGCCCCAGCACCGCGGCCTTTAAGACCGGAGCGGACTGCACACGCACCTGCAGCAGAGACACGCCATGTTTCCCGATACAGGTGCGTGTTACACCCTGAAAAACAGGGCCGGATTTACGCATAGGTATTCTAGGCACGTGCCTATGCTTGCTCGTCCAGGGGGGGCCCAAACACAATGAAGAGATATATAATATTTTTCTTATACTATGGGATATCTACAACAGTAAAAGAACCAAAACCCCAGAAAACATTGAGCAAATAAATATAACAAACAATAGGGTAAAAATGTCAAACTATTTCCACGTCTTCCACCTTTTTTATGTATGGAAATCACGCTTTCCTCCGATTCTCTTTCACAGACACAGACGCGGACAGAAAGTTGTCGTCAACGCTGCCCCGCAAATTTATCAATGAAATAGTTTCGCAGCTGAAAAGCTACATGACATTTCTCAGTAGCGAGGTTCTTGAAGCAGTTTAACTTAAAGATTCACTATTAGTAGATGCTGCTGCTGGACACTGCTGAGAGACGCACAGACGCAGGTATTCACACGTGCTTAATAGAGGTTCTTGAAGCAGTTTAACTTAAAGATTCACTATTAGTAGATGCTGCTGCTATTAGAGACGCACAGACGCAGGTATTCACACGTGCTTAATATCTCTCTCTCTCTCTCTCTCTCTCTCTCTCTCTCTCTCATAACTGCATTAGACAGCATTAATAACTGCATTAGCCTGCATATCAATGGCTCAAGCCTCTAAAATTAAATTTAGGAATTTTCAATGGAAGGTTTGGGATGAAGTGCGTAAAAAAATAGTCACTACGGAAACGTGTCAAATGTCTTGAAACAAATAATCTGAACAATGTCTTGATGTGTGGTTGTGACTCCTGGCCGTTAAAATTATTAGAGAAATAACTCCCGAAGTGGTACGCCGCCACGCCTATTAATGGAAATTAATCAAACAAATTAAGAACTACATTCGATTCGATTTTTATTGACTGAACGCAAGCACTTATTGCGATAGAAAACACTGTAACGGTTTCCACTGATTAAGAAATATTTTTGTTTGCTTGGGTGGTAATATTAGGACTATTATATTAACAGGGAAGGGGGGCCCAAACATTAGTTTTGCCTATGTCACAAAAAGAGGTAAATCCGGCCCTGATGAAAACAGATGCCAGATCGTACACACTCTGAACATCTGTCTCTTTTTCTTTGCGTTCAGATCCCTCTGTCTGACCCTCGCACTGGGACTCAAAGCTGCATGCCGTTTTTCCGCTCTGCTCCCAGCTGTACGGTTTCACTCGGTCACCGGGAGCAGCTGAACGCCATCACGGCATTCGTGGATGCCAATATGGTGTACGGGAGCTCGGATGGGCTGGCTGCCACCCTGCGAAACCTCTCGTCCCCTCTCGGCCTGCTCGCCGTCAACGAGCTCCACTCAGACCAAGGGCTCGGCTTCATGCCCTTCCTGAGCCGCACGCAGCTGAACCTGGATCCCTGCGGCCCACGAGAGCAGATCGACCCCATCCCGCTACCAGAGACAGTGCAAAGACTCAACACATCCTTGGGGAATAGATCGTTCTGTTTCCAAGCAGGTTGTAGGCAGTATTCGTTGTGAGCATTCGCAACCCATTTTGCTTCCATAATCACTTTAAATACTTGTGTCACTTTCACAACCCTTGCTTTTTGTCTTATACGCCATTCAAACAAACCATCCACATTGAAATCAGTGGGTTTTCAGCATCCTCTGATACAGCAGAAACTCTAGTACGAAACGTACTAATGTAAAATTCTTAAATAATCAAACTGTAATGATAGTATTACTAGCTGTTTAAGTTGGTTTGTTTATTTATCTTCATGCAATTTATTTACCTCCCTCAATTTCAGTTAAATTCAGTTTGCTGTATTAGTCTGACAAAAGCATGTGTATTTATATTGCTAAAGCATTTGTATACAATGACAAATGGTATATTATAATACATACTACATATGATGAGAAATGGTGCAAAATAGATAAATAAAAGTAAAACATTTCAAAGCAAGTAAATATTATTATTGGTTTCATTATTAAATCAATAAATTAAATAATTCAAATAATTACAAAAATTATTGCAATTAAATAATGTAAAAATTACAATTAAATTAAGTTCTAGAGCAATAATAAATAAGTTTGTGTATAAGTGTTTTGTCTAGAACCACTGTAGTCATAACTAATTGCCTCAATGAGATTTATAAAGCTTTAAACAACAAAAAAAATACTACGTGCAATAAGAAGTGGTGCATATTAGGTAAAAAAGTGAAATAACACTTTCAAAAAAATTAAGTAAATGTTGTTATTTAAATAGTTAAAATAAATACACAACAAATAAATAATGCAATTAATCCTATTTTATTTATTTATTTTGTTGCTGATTTATAATATTGCTGATATTGCTAATATTTTTTATTTAATGTTGACTTTAAAGGTATTAAAGATACAACACCCTATAAAGGAAAATAAATCAATATTTGTGTCGTTTTATGTGTAAGCTAGGCCTTCACCCTGATGCTTTCTGATTTAAACTGGCCAGTTGATGTGCTGTTTTTGTGGGCGTGTCTCAGGTGACTCTCGGGCCAATGAGCACTTGGGTATGATCGCTCTGCACACGCTCTTTCTGAGAGAACACAACCGATTGGCTGAGGAGCTTCACAAGCTCAACCCTCACTGGAGCCCAGACACGCTGTACCAGGAGGCCAGGAAAATACTGGGCGCAGTCCACCAGGTGAGGAGATAAAAAGTGACACCAAAAGTAATAAAATAAAGCAATTTGCCCCGTGAAGCCGTAGTTTACAGTGAATTTATAACAGCTAAGAGGCGTTGTTACGTAGTACGACATGAAGCGGAGTAAACTCCCTTAGCTGTTATAAATTCACTGTAAAGCACGGCTTCACGGGGCTTATTGCTTTTATAAAACGGTTATTCCATATACGTAGTAAGGTTTCACAAAATAAAACAGAGCAAATAAAGTGTAATGATATTAATAAAAACAGTATTCTTCCACCAAACAATGTAGCTCCTCAGAAACAGTTGTGGTTGCTACAAAGTAGCTGCAGAGCAGCACACAGACGTAAACAAAGGTGTATGTTTGTAGAGTAATTTACAACAGCTTCGCCAATCAGAATCAAGGACCGGAACTATCTGTTTTATAAGCTTACTGTATTTATGCATGTCTCTGACTTGCTGAATCTTGTTTGGAAGATCTTGACATGGGATCACTACTTGCCCCGCGTCCTGGGACGCAGTGCTAACCTGGCCCTCATGCCCCCGTACAAAGGTTACGACCCCGCCGCTGACCCCAGCATCTCCAACATTTTCTCCACCGCTGCCTTTCGGTTTGCACATGTGACCGTGCATCCGGTGGTGAACCGCCTCGGACCCGATTACCGGTTGAGCCCTGAGCACCCGGCTCTGCCGTTACACCACTCTTTGTTTGCATCCTGGAGGGTTGTGCAAGAGGGTTTGTTTCACACACACACACACACACACACTTGAGGCAAGACACCACAGGTGAATAGAGTAAGAAATTACGCAAATAAAATCATCATACTTCCCCTGTTGATTAATCTCAGTCCTTTAAGACAACCGTTTTGTACTACAAGTTCTCCGAAATGTTTAAATATCCAAATGAAGCATTGTTTAATTAAATGTGCACTTATTTGCATACATTTCCAGAACATAAATCTCAACATTAGATAAAGCCAGGGTCAATTGTTGTTTCATTTTGTTGGCATATAAGCTTTTTACAGATGGATTTTAGATTTCTCTTTTTATCTATCGGAAGATACTGTCAACAGCACAAACAAATAAACAAATAAAATAAAATGTTAAATATATAAATTTGGTGAATGATATATGAACAAATCCCTCTGTAATAACCTCCACAAGATAGATAGAAATAAATGTTTGGTGTATAAACTAACAAATTTGAGTTTATATCTTTCATTTATATCTTTATAGCCACAGAATAAATCATAAAAAAGTAATTGACTTTATCTCGCAATTCTAACTTTTTCTTGCCATTGCGAGTTAATATCTCATATTTCTGATGAATTCAGAATTGTGAGAAAAAAAGTCCGAATTGTGAGATAAAAAGTTGCTATTCGTATTCCATGGCGGAAATGGGTTTCCATAAATTTCTGGCCCAGTGCATGCGAAAAAAACTATTCAAAATCCAGTGAATTAAGCTACAAACTCGATCATAAAGTACAATGTTTCCATCTGACATGTATTTTGAGCTGCAGCTCGTTATATATTAATGGAGTGTTTCACTAGTTCGCAGTAAACTATAGTTTCCAAAGTCGGACATTGCTTGTTATGATTTTCAAGGGTGTAGAGTTAAGTAGAGTCACAATGACATGTCCCTACCAATATCCAGCGACTACTAAATTGTCCCTAGCAGTAATATTGATCAAACAATTCAATGTCTGTTGTCTGCCGTTATGTCCCCACCAATGCCAAAATCAAACCTGCACCCTTGAATAAACTTCAAGAAAACAGCCTTTAAAGATATGTATTATAATTGAAATGTACATAAAGTGCTATAAAAACAAACACTTACATTTGTATTTCGGATGTTTTCTTTCCCCCTAGTCTGAAAGACGACATATGTTTTATGGAAGCAAAAAGGCCAAAATCTCAAAACTGACCAGTGCATGAAAACAATGTCTTTTCCTGTAGTATCTTGTCTTAATATTCATTATTTTGCATGCTAATTTACTCGCATACTCGATGAATGTTTGTCTGTGTGTAGGTGGCATCGATCCTGTGCTGCGTGGCTTGCTGTTGTCCCCGGCTAAACTGCAGACAGCAGATCAGATGATGGTGGAGGAACTGACCGAGAGGCTCTTCCAGGCTCAGGGAGGGCTGCCGCTGGACCTGGCCGCGTTAAACCTGCAGAGGGGACGAGATCACGGCCTACAAGGTGCCAGTCAGCAGATATGCTTTATTATGTTTTTTTTTTTTTAGCATATTTTTATGTTTTTTAAGGCAGCTCACTTATTTATTTATTTTCTTTACTGGTAAAGATTCAGTTATAACCTATATAACAAAAAAACTGCAACTTGTAACAAAAAATAAAAATAATAACATGACAATTTATTTATTTATTTGAAACTTGCAAGCCATTTTTTGTTTATTTGATTGTTAATATTTTTTATGTTTATGAAGGCAGCTCACTTATTTATTAATTTTTTTCTTTATTGGTAAAGATAAGCATATTATCTTTATATATTATCTTAAGCATATTAAACTTATAACAAAAAAATGGCAAATTACAACAAAAAATAAAAATAATAACATGACAATTTATTTATTTATCTATTTATTTATTTGAAACTTGCAATCCATTTTTTGTTTATTTGATTATTAATTTTGTTTATGTTTATGAAGGCAGCTTGCTTACTGTTTGTTTTATAAACACCTACAGTGTTTCATCTTTTTTTCTTTATTAGGAAAGATTCAGTTACAACTTATTAAAACTCCTGTCATGTTTGCACTTAGAAAAATATAAAAATGTGCAAACAAAAAACAATGTTTAAAACTTAAACATAAGAAGATAAATATCTACATCATTTAAAAAATATTTATTTTATTTACTTACTTGCTTTGATCTAATGTCAAACTCATAAATGAGTTTCCTGACATTATCTCTCTCCTTATTTAGAACGGTTTACTTATAGTTTGCTAATTTTATTTCCTAATATTGTGCTAATTTTACTTTACCTTTACCTTAACCTGAGAATGTCACGCTAGAGTTTTAACCTAAAAATATTACAATAATAACTTGACATTATTTATTTTTCAAATTACAAACCATGAATATCATGAATGAAATGCTTAATAATATTTAATAATAATGAAAGTATTTATTTCACTCTCTCTGCAGGTTACAGTGCGTGGCGGGAGCTCTGCGGTCTCTTTGCGCCTGCGGATGAGTCTGATTTAGCAGGCATTCTGGGAAATGTAGTTCTGGCCAGGAAGCTGCTGCATCTCTATGGAACAATTAAGAACATAGACGTGTGGGTCGGGGCCATTTCAGAGCCGGCTCTGCCTGGGGGCCGCGTGGGGCCCCTGCTGGCCTGCCTGATCGCCAAACAGTTCAAAGCGCTCCGAGACGGTGACAGGTAATGTGATTCACTTCCTTTTATTATTATTTAGTTTGAGACAGTGTTGAGTTATTTCAATGTGGCATGATATGAAGTACATAATTAAATGTGGTTTAGGTTCTGGTGGCAGAATGAAGGTGTGTTCAGCTCGGCTCAGAGAGACGCTCTGCGCACCACATCTCTGTCCCGCATCATCTGTGACAACACACACATCCGGCTGGTGCCCTTTGACCCCTTCGCGCACACACTCCACCCCGACGACCTGCTACCCTGCACACGCATCGGCCACATGAACCTCTCAGCGTGGAGAGAGACAGACACCGGTATTAGCGACCGAACGAATGAAAACAATCATATAATCCTTTTATCTTATGTGGGTTATTCATATTGTCCCAATATTTGGGTGTCATTTTCAGACCCGGTGTGTGGCGCGGTCCCGCGGTTGAATCTGGGTTTCTCTGTGCTGTGTGAATCTGCGGTGATGTATCAGTGTCCTACTGGATACCTGCTCCAGGGAGCCACACAAATCACCTGTGACCCCAACACCCACCAGTGGACCCCACAAACGCCCACATGCCAAGGTTAAATAAAAAAAAAATTTTTTTTTAAATATTAAAATAATACATTAAGTATTACATAATAAATGTAAAATACCATTAGATTAGATATTAAATTGCATAGTAAATATTAATTATACAGTAGTAATAAATTAATATTAAATATTTAAAATCAAATCAAATTTAATTAAATATTAAATTAATTTGGGAAATTGAGTGATCTATCTGACACCCAGTTTATAAAAACAATATTTTTATTGGTTATATCAATTATTGCTGAATATTCGACTTATTTGTTTTCGATATTTGAACATTTATGTACATTTTTATATTAAATATTACATGTAAATAACATTAAAGATTAATGACACAATATTAAACAACTAATATTAAATATTGAATACAATTAAAGATTCAAGTCGAATTAAGTATTCAATTAAATTTGGAAATTGACTGGTCCATCAGACACCCGATTTATTAAAACAATGTTTTTTGGGGGGTTATTTTAAATATTGATGAATGTTCCACTTATTTCTTTTGAACATTCATGTACATTTTTAAACTAAACTAAATAATAAATATCAAATATTACATCAAATATTAAATGTAAAATAAATTAGATTAAATATAAAATGTATTAGTAAATATTAATGATAATATTAAACAATTAAATATTAAATTTATTAATTTAAATATTTATTAGTAAATAAATAAAGTATAGAACTATGCATTTATGTTTTGTTTTAAATACTGATGAATGTTCCATTCAAATAAAATAAAATAAATAGAATTAAATACTACATATAAAATAACATTATATTAAATTAAATGGTAGAAACCTTTAAACACAAATATAAACACCACTTTAAGAGCACAAGTAGATGCAGTCAAAAAACAGCTTGCTGCAACATTAATGAAAAAATATCAAACCGTTAATATTAATTATTATATAAAATGAAGTATTAAATAAGATCAGGACAAATTAATTTAAATGAAATTTACTGATCCATCTGACACCCAATTTATTAAAAATGCGTTCATTGATATTTTCAGATATTGATGAATGTTCCACTCATCCGTCCGTCTGCCCTCCACACCTGCAGTGCTTGAACACACCTGGAGGTCACACCTGCACAGGTGAGCAGTCACCAGCAGCTTCCTCAATCCATGGCATATTAATCGCATAAATAAATGAGCGATTATTTGTTGCATATACAGAACCTGCAGCTCCGCCCCTTTCCGCCTCCTCCATTGTTGCATCAGTGGTGTCAGTCCTAGGGGGCGTGGCTTTGATAGTGCTCTTCCTCGCCTGCTACCAAAGGTGTGTTACAATCTCCACTTCAGGCTGCTGTTTTGTATGAGTAAACGTACAATACTTATAGCACGAATGTCAATCCTGCAGATTGTTCCTTCGGAAAGCCGAGCCGGTGAAGGTGGAATGCTGTCGGAGAAGCTGAGATGGATTCAAGGGGAAACTGGTTTGGAAAACGTGCAGATTTTGGTCCTAGATGGTCTGTGTTTACATGTTTCATAACCACAGTCTCATTTCACACCGCTCGACCGGAAACACCGGACGGAAACACATTAATGAAACGTGTGTGAACATGAATGAAAGCATTTTTAACATTTCTCCCAGTGTTCTCGCGCTTCAGAAAAGCATTTATTTGTGATAAATGTGCTGTCGGCTCAAAAATCATGTACAAAAATCCTTGCCATAATACTTTAGCCTTGTTAGCCTAAAAGGTCAGTAAGATTATTATTATTTTTTTTTTAAAGAAATTAATATTTTTCTTCAGCGAGGATGCATTAAATGTATCAAAAGTGAGAGTAAAGACATGATATAATCTTACAAAAGATTTCAATTTCAAATTAATGCTGTTCTTTTGAACTTTCCATTCATCAAAGAATCCTGAAAAAAAAGTTTCCACAGAAATATTGTGCAACACAACTGTTTTCAACATTGATAATAATAATAATGTTTCTCGAGCAGCAGATCAGCATATTATACTGATTTCTGAAGATCATGTGACACTGAAGACTGGAGGAATGATGCTGAAAATACAGCTTTGATCACAGAAATACATTACAGTTTAACACATATTCACACAGAAAACTGTTACTTCAAATTATTATAATATTTCACAAATGTACTGTTTTTAACTGTATTTATAATCAAATAAAAGCAGCCTTGGTGAGCAGAAGAGGCTTCTATAATCTTACCAACCTCAAACTTTTGAATGATAGTGTACATGTTTGTAGCATAATATTAATATTTGTTCATAGACATCTTATTAGTTATTTTCTATATGTTTTGTCTCGTGCTTAACTTGTTTTGCTGCTCAAAATTAGGTGCCGCATGTTCATATATATGAATTTATGCTTAGCCAATAGAATCCAAGATTGTGCTGTGACATCACATATGTATATATATATATATAAATGTATATATATATATGTGTGTGTGTGTATTATACATTTAAATAAGCTTTGACATTGACATTTTGTAAAATAATTATAAATGCACTACTGAAACGATCCTGAAATGTCAGACCATGTGGGTGATTTTTGAGTGTTTTTACAGGATTTTCTTATTAAATAAATATATATATATATTCCAAAATATATAACTGACGGTATGTATGTTTGTACATTCATACATAAATTATTATGAACAAAGCACACAGTTCTTACATGATGCTATATAGTTATTTTTGGAAAAAGTATTCATTATTCACAAAACAAAACTGAGTCACAAATGTATTCTGAAGATGCTTTTAATGGAGTTTAAAAGTCATTTTTAACATGAAGAAGCTGTTTAACTAAAGCAAACAGACCTGAGGGTAGACGTCATATTTAATGCGTCACGAATGAAAACAAGGCTGACAAATTTAACAATATATTTCCAAAACATTTCCAGTTGAAAAAAGACAAAACCACCTATTGATGACATGTTTTCACTCACATCAAATTAAATATGATGACAGTCCATCAAAAGCGAGTTCTACACTGTAAACACTGTATTCGTGCCGTAAGACAGCGATTGTCAGTCATGCAACAGTTATTATTTATAATACGGGGTGTGATGCATCATGGTACAAGGACCATAACTTGTGTTCGATGGTTTAGCATCCATAACATAAGTGCTGGTGGTGACAGAAAGAGACTCACATGGCACTTCTCTTGACACTTGCATAGAAAAGATGTCTGGAGGATTGTCCATTCAAAGCTGTAAAGCATTAATGTGCACAGAAATCACTGGTGCACAAAGCATGCTGGGAAACAACGCGCCTTAGTGTGGTGTATGTGTATTGCACATGATGGTGCAGTGCCTTCAGATGAAGTTCTAGCACTGCTTTAGAACTGATTCTATTGTTGGAATTACCGTAATTATGAGTTTCCAACTAGTAAGCATTCACATCTTTGTCAAACTGGTAATGAACTGGTTTTAAAAGATTTGGAAGAACCTACAGGACGTTGGAATATCAACCTTTTTATGTTCCGACTAAGAGCGGAAACAACGTAAGACTTCTTCAAATACAAATCTTTCTAGAATTCAAAAAACGTAAAATGTGTGGCAATATTTTTCTGAACTGAGGAACACTAGATTTGAGGGTTCAAGCTATGAACTCTGCCATCATGTGTTTAATGGATGACTCTGAATTTCTCTGCAAATGGCAAGTTAAATGTCAGTATGGAAGCTTATTTCTGCCACGGAATAAACTAATTGTGATTGTAATTGTGTTTATGTCTCACGATTCAAACTTTTTCCCTCACAATTCTGAGAACATTCTGAGACATAAACACTCAAATGCAAGATGTAAAACTGAGAAGAAAAGTCAAAATTGTGGGATATAAACTTGAGAATTGTGAGATAAAAAGTCAGTTAGCTTTTTAATTTTTCTATCGTGTGGCAAAAACAGATACATTTTATTCTGAGAGAAAGTCAGATGTAAATCAGAATTCCAAAACCAACAACATAAAAATCAGATTTTCAAGATGTAAATTCAGAATTCTGAGGGGAATTCCAAAAAAAAAAAAAAATTTGAATTCTGAGAGAGAAAAAGTGAACCGTGAGATGTAAGCTCGCAATGAGAAAAAAACTTTTAAAAAAAGTCTAAATAAGCCTCCACGTGTTGGAGATTTTTTTACCGGTAAATGGAAAAAACGTCCTGTTGTTGACTTCTTGAAATATGAATGTCTTGTAAACATTTACCTCAGTGTTAACAAAGTGGCACATTTGCTGCACTCAGTCTTTCCCAAAGCAAACACAGCACAAGGCCTGTGGAGAGTCAAACTGTACGGCTGTTATCCGTTAGCTCGGGGAGTGCTAGTGTTCTGGGAATTCCTCTGTAGTGCTTCCCTCAACACATGCATGAATATGGAGCTATTAAACTCCAGCATGGGAGTGTTTGAGGGAAAGTTGAGATGACCGTGCTGTATTTGTGTTTGTAGGCTGGTCCTCTAGCTCTCCTCCGTCGGGAAATATCCCAGTTTGGCCACACTCATCTCTCTCCGCAGACGCATCACTTCCCAAAACATCTGCTGAACTGCAACCACAGGACAATTACCGTTATTTTCTTCTGACATACTGGATTGCAATAACTTGAAACTTTATATTATATAGATATACATTTAAATATAAAATACAATTTAATTAAATTTATTAAAAATATATTTATTACTTTATATATAGATATAAATTTTAATATAAAATACAATTTAATTAATTAAAAAATATGTTTATTACTATATATATATATTTATGTGTGTGTGTGTGTGTGTGTGTGAGTAATTAATATATTTTTAATTTAATTAATTTAATTGTATTTTATATTTAAATGTATATCTATATATAAAGTAATAAATATATTTTTAATTAATTTAATTTAATTGTATTTTATATTTAAATGTATTTCTATAAAGTAATAAATATATTTTTAATTTAATTATTAATTTAATATATATTTATTACTATATATATATACATACAAGTTAATTAATTGAATTATCAATTAAAAATATGTTAATTACTCCTATATATATATATATTCATATTTTATAATATTTTAATATTTAATAATTAATATATAGAGAAAATAGTTTTTTATTCTTATATATTTAAATTACATGCAAATAAAATACATATAAAATATACATTAATATTAATAAATTCATAATATTTAAATCAATATTTTTTTTTTCAGTCACATATAATTTTATATCATATTTAAATATATATGATTGAATTAATAAATGAGTTGGTTTCTTTTCAGATTTTCTAATCCTAAATATTGATTTTGTGAACACCTAAACAATCATCCATAAAATTGCCCAAGTGAATTCTAGGAGACTAGTAGACAGCTGATCAGCTCACCGTCCTGTCTGACGAGGCCCTGCTGGATGTACCTGATGTAAGTGAAGAAATTACACACGGCTGTGATCTGTGAGGAGAGGACGCTGTTTATTAAAGAGAACTGCTTCTTAAAAGCGGGTTCTGAAGAATGAGAGGGAGAGATACAGCATAGACACGTACTCGTGCTCTGCTAGATGGAGATACATAGTAGTAATTCTCTTTATCTCCCAGTTTGATGCGATGTCGGCAGGGGCGGGACATGCCGCTCAATGCACATTTACTGTTCAATCAAAAGAGAACACTGGTCAATGAGCTGTCAATCAAACTACTGAACACTCTAAACAGCCAATAAGATACAAGCAGGACAGAACAACACGCCCAGCAAAGAACAAAACACCGAAAACCTGTTCTTCACCTGTGTGAAACTAATTACTTTCAACAAACATTTCTAACACTGAAACATGTACATTAAATATATAATGTAAAATAAATATTAATAATAAATTACACTAAGTGAGATGCACATTGCAAGACGAGGGGTTTTCACAAAAATAAATTATAAAAAATATTGTAAAAATTATTTAAAATGTATTGTATTTGAACTCACTTACGTTTCTATGGGTGTCCGGCAACCGCTGTGAAAACAACCCCAGATCAAACAGTGATTAAAGCGTGATTAAAGCGTGATTAAAGTGCGGTCGGTCTGATTCATGTGCATCAGTGCAGGCAGAATTAAAGTGAGTCCCACATGCTACATGACGAATCAAAGCAGAAGCCAGGTGAAGAAGCAGTGTAAGAGCTGTTGGTGTGGCTGCTATGAAGGTATTAAATAAAATTACGTCATTTATTAAATTATTTTAAAAATTACTGAAAAGTATTTAAAATTATTTATTTTAATTTTAAATAAATTATATATATATGTATGTGTGGGTCAAAGACGAAAAAGGGTTTAAGCATAAAAACAATAAGTATAATACTGCTTTAAACTGTTGTCTTAAATTTTTAAAAAGTTTTCTGTTTAATTTAATTGCAATTTTGTTTTTGTTTTTCTGAGCAAAAAATAAATATCATACATTTTCCCCTGATTTACAGAAGACACCCACTAAAATATCATTCAGTGTAACAGTCTCGTCAGGCATATTTACCACAAAAATCAATTTATGACATATTAAAAGACTAATTGCTTTGACCCCAAATACTAATTAGTTGTAATTTTACATTTTTAAAACGTGCCACTATCCTAGGTTTTGCCCATTTATCAGTAAGAATTTGTTTACTCATTTAAAACACAATCAAATTTAATATGCTCCCTTATTCTTTTATATATCTTAACATGTACACATCAGAATGAGCATTCAGGCATATTTACCACAAAAATCAATTTATGACATATTAAAAGACTAATTGCTTTGACCCCAAATACTAATTAGTTGTAATTTTACATTTTTAAAACGTGCCACTATCCTAGGTTTTGCCCATTTATCAGTAAGAATTTGTTTACTCATTTAAAACACAATCAAATTTAATATGCTCCCTTATTCTTTTATATATCTTAACATGTACACGTCAGAATGAGCATGTTGTTTGAATTTTTACATAAATATTGTGTTACACTGAATGACGATTTTATTTTATCCTCCAAAAACTTATTTGAAACCTTAAAAGTAGACACTTTACTTACATTCAATGTAATAAAATACTTTAAAATACTTTTGTAAATTAATTTTGATGCGGACATCTTAATGTGTGTGTATATTATATATATATATATATATATATGTATATATACTCTTAAAAATAAAGGTGCTTCACGATGCCACAGAAGAACCTTTTCGTCTAAATGGTTCCATAAAGAACCTTTAACACCTGAAGAACCTTTCTGTTTCACAAAAGGAGAAAGAAGGTTCTTCAGATTATAAAAAGGTAAGAAAGAGATGCTTCTTTAAAGAACCTTTGACTGAATGCTTCTTTGTGGAACCAAAAATGGTTCTTCTATGGCATCGCTTGAAGAACCTTTTGAGCAGCTTTATTTTTAAGAGTGTAGTTAATTTATAGCTAGTTAATTTAGTTAAGTTACCTTTCTAAAAATGCAAAGTGCATCATAAAGAGCATTCTGACAAATTTGAAAAGGAATGCAACAAAACTCGCATAACTTTTTCTGTGTGAGTTTTTTATTGGATTTGTCATTATATAAATAAAGATACGCCATGCACATTATTTGAAGAAGTAAATGAGTTATTATTTGCAAACTGATTCTGACACATGCATGATTTGTCTGCTTGACCAAAAGCATGAAAGAAAGTGGCTGATGTGTTTTGTGTATTCAGAGAAGACTCACTTGGGGCCTCCGCATTGGATGGCTTTGACCGTGTGCAGAGACGACATGGCGACGGGCTCGATGGTGAGAGAGTTATTCTCCACTGCGCACTGGACGGACTGAGACAACTGCAGGAAAAGCAGAAGAGAAAGTCAGAGCGAGGACACACAGCTGACCCGAGGACGACAGCAGAGCTCACACACCTCAGAGCAGGTGAATGAAAGACAGGGCCCGATATCTTCTCTGTACACCCTGCTGATGAGCGCTAAAGAACGGTCCAGACTGGGTGTCTCCTTCCACGAGAGGAACTCGGCAAACAACACCGAGTCCAGCTAGATAAAAGAGAGAGCGTTTAGTTTATCCTGCTTAGCCACTCGATTAATTAATGCTACTTTCAGAAGTCGTTTGTGTTGATCTTGTTTTGTTTCTCAGCTGAAAAAAGGTCAAACTAGCCACGGTGGTTTGCTGGTCTAACCTGGGCACCACTCTGGTGCTATTTTAGTATTATTTCTATATATATTTATAGTATTTATTCATGTTTTTAATAATGTTATAAATTATAAAATATTTTATAATAATTAATGTATTCATGTAATTATTATATATACATTTTAAAATAAATAAATTATTATTTATTTATTTTATTTATAATATTTATTTATTTGTTGATTTATGTAGTCACAATTAATGTTTATTTTGTTTTGTATTTATTAACATATATTATTGATATTATCAATATATTAATATAGTTTTAGTATTTATTATTATATCTAAGACTATTTCATTATTTGTAGTATTTAGTAACATTTAGAATTTTTTTATTTTTAGATTTGGATATTTATTAATATATTATATTAATATTATTATTTTAATGTTTTGTATTATTAATATCTCTACAAATATATCTAATATCTAAAAAAAAAATTTTTATATGCTTTTATATAATTGTATATATTTTCATAATTTTTTATATTTATTCATATATTTTATTAATATCATCAATTTATTAACACGTTAATACTTATAAAATATTTAATTGTTTTTCCGTATTTAGAAATATTTTGAATTTTTTCATAATTATTAGATTTTTATTATTTTGATATTTATTAATATATATGAATATTATTATTCTTTTAATTTGTTTTCTATTATTCATATCTCTAAAAATATACCTAATATATAACAATTTATTTTTAATATTTATTTATATTTTTATATACTTTTATATTTTCTTAATTTTTTATATTTATTATCATATTTTATTAATTTTAATAAAAAATTTTATTCAATCTAATATTTTATTTCAGCTTTATTTCAATGAACAAAAACGACTTGTATTACTTTTAGTTAACGATAACAATGCTGCGCTGATCAGAGCGGTCTAGTTATGATTTTACAGGCCGCTTGTCAACTGGTCAGACCAGCAAAACCACCTTAAACCAGGACAGACCAGCAAAACCACCTTAAACCAGGACAGACCAGCAAACCACCTTTCGCTGGATTAAGCGGTTTTGTTGTTTTCACAGCAAGAAAGCAAAATAAAGTTCTATTTCGGAACTCTTTGTAACCTGTTGCCATGGAGACCTGCCAAGCAGTTACCTGGCAACAGGAAGCCCCTGCCAGCAGGGTTGACACACAGGTCACACCGAGCAGCTGACCAGGAATCAGACACACAGTATCAGAGAGAGGAGAACAGCAGCTGCACAGATCAGAGAAACACAGAGCCACGAGGAGGTGCGGAGGAGGAGGAAAACAGAGGAAGAACGGCAGGAAGTCAGTCATCAAACCTTCATCATGCAGCTACAGACCAAAACCAGTCCCTAAAAGTGTCCCATGAGTTCTCAGGAGTGTGTTTGTACCTCTTTATCCTCCCGGTTTGTCGCTACATCTGTCGGCGTGGGCTCTGCTGGCAGCTGTAGAGCACCGCTGGCGCTCTTGTTGCGCGTGTGGCCCCTGAGACGAGACGAGGCCCGACTGGGGCCCGGCGACAGCAGCTGAGGATGGAGCTGGCGGTTCGGGGAGGAGGGCGTCGAGGTCAGCACCAGGGTCTTCAGAGCGGAGACCTCCGCCTGCAGGACATCAATCTGAGAAGACAGATGGATTTAGAGCTTAAAGAGCCTGAGGTGAGCAGAGAGTGAGACCGAACGAGAGAACGCACCTTGCCCTGGGCCTCCTTCAGCTGCTTCTCAGCTGCCGCTTGTTTCACGTTGGCCTCTCGCACCATCTTATGGGCCTCCTAGAAATGAGAGATGAGCGCACACAAGTTTGTGATATGAAATACTTTTGGGAAGTAGACATGTCCTGTGATCTGACATGCTAAACTTCATCGAAAAATAAAGATACACACTTTCCCTCATATAAATTTTAAGCTGAAGTGTAATATAATGTAATAAAATCATCCATGAACATGTGTTTCTTTTATGACGTGTCAGTCTCTCTACGCTGACACACAACATTCTTCTCCGTTTAGTGTCGATCTGCTGTGCTGTCAGTGATGAGGTCACATTAGTCCCGCCCACCTCAAAGAGACTGGCCGTCAGTTCCTCCAGTTCCTGCTCCAGCTGATTCCTGACATGAGACAGTCTGACACACTCCTCGTCTCTCAACTTCAGCTCCTGAAAACACAGACAAAAGTCAATAAAACATATTTGAATGGGAGTGCCTGTTACATAAACAGTTTACCCAAAAATGTAAAAAATGCAACTTTTCACAAGACGTTAACTGACGGACTGGAGTGGTGTGGATTATTGTGATGTTTTTATCAGCTGTTTGGACTCCCACTCTGACGGCACCCATTCACTGCAGAGCATCCACTGGTGAGCAAGTGACGCAATGCTACAAATCTGATCCAATAATGAAAGAAACTCCTGAGAGTGAGTACATTCTCAGCAAATTTTCATTTTTGGGCCGAACTATTCCTTTAAAGAACCCGAAGCACTGCTCTGAAGAACCTCCGATGAAACATCAAGAACCTTTTACACTGAAAAATGGTTCTGGGCTCAGAATAGAATCTAATATGTGGCACCTTTTGCGCAGCATCCAGCTGCTCTCTGAGGAATTCTGTTCCCTTCTCCTTGATCTCCAGAGAGGAGCTCCGCAGACGGGACATGTTGTACGTCTCTTGTCTATGTGCTCCTGCCTCCTCCTCCTCCTCCTCCTCCTCCTCCGGGGGCATCTTCTCCCTCTGCCTCCCATCACCTCCCAATGTGGGCCTCGGATCTGGCTCCAGGTCTACCAACCTGCAAGATTTCACCAACTCTCAAAAACACATGATATTAAAAAAAACTAAAGGAATATGGTCAGGATTCATATTGGACATTATAGCATTTAAATAAAATGTTTCAAGTCTATATCATGATTCCACTGTGATTCTGTCCTGATGACAAATTCCTTTTACAATCCCAGAATAACCCAGTCATGAAAACATAGCGCCACACCCTCCTTTATGTAGTCTGACAGAACTGTGGATGAATTCATACACGCTCGTGTGTCTTTATAATCAAAATCAGCCCTGGCTGAACTTCAGGGCGGTTTGTGTAGCTCAGCGCTCCCCGGCCTTACCCTCCCCGCGCCCGGCTACAGGACTCCCCGCGACCCGCTGACGTCCACACAAAGAACGTGTCAATCTAACAAAGTGACAGTGTTACAAAGTTGCAGCTCCGCCTTCCCGAGATCAACAGAGATCAACAGTAAGAAAACCACCAATAGATCTGGCTTGAGTTTCCCGCACCCGACTGAGCTCTGTAGCTCTGAGACTTGATCCAGATAAACGACCCGGAATTCGGATCCGCGAGAGATGATTTGGGTCGGACAGTTTAGCAGACTTCTCCTTCTGAGATTGAGCAGGAAAAATGTCCAGCTGTCAATCACAGGTCACATGACCGAGGGGAGGCATCCAGGAATCACGTGATACGCCTCAAACACATACTTCAGTGTCAATGGTCTGTTCTGTTCTGTTCTGTTCGGTGTGTTATTTATGATTCTGCTATTTTGTTTGTTCAGTTCTGTGATGTTGTGTATGTTATTTTATATTACAATGTTTGCTCAGTTTTTGTATGTTCCATCCATGGTTCTGTTTTGTTGCACATATCGTTTAATGTTATGTTATGTTATGTTATGTTATGTTATGTTATGTTATGTTATGTTATGTTATGTTATGTGTTGTGTTGTGTTTTGTGTTATGTTATGTTATGTTATGTTATATGTTTTGTTTTGTTATGTATGTTATGTTTGTTATGTTTTATGTTATGTTGTTCCTTCAGTTCTTGTATGTTATGTTATGTTATGTTATATGTTTTGTTTTGTTATGTTATGTTATGTTATGTTATGTTATGTTATGTTATGTTATGTTATGTTATGTTATGTTATGTTATGTTATGTTATGTTATGTTATGTTATGTTATGTTATGTTATGTTATGTTATGTTATGTTATGTTATGTTATGTTATGTTATGTTATGTTATGTTATGTTATGTTATGTTATGTTATGTTATGTTATGTTATGTTATGTTATGTTATGTTATGTTATGTTATGTTATGTTATGTTATGTTATGTTATGTTATGTTATGTTATGTTATGTTATGTTATGTTATGTTATGTTATGTTATGTTATGTTATGTTATGTTATGTTATGTTATGTTATGTTATGTTATATGTTTTGTTTTGTTTTGTTATGTTATGTTATGTAGTTCATTCAGTTCTTGTATGTTATATGTTATGTTATGTTAACCGGTTTGTTCGGTTCTAGTAGGTTATGTTATGTTTGTTATGTTATGTTGTTCATTCAATTCTTGTATGTTATGTTATGTTAAAAAAAATCCGTTCTAGTATGTCATGTTTGTTCCATTCTGTTATGTTGTGTTATGTTATACGTTATGTTAATTTCTTTGTTCAGTTCTAGTATGTTATGTTATGTTATGTTATGTTATGTTAAATTGTTTGTTATGTTATGTTATGTTAAACTGTTTGTTCAGTTCTGGTATGTTATGTTATGTTTGTTCCATTCTGTTCTGTTGTGTACAGTATGCTATTTTAGGTGTTGTGTTTTGTTAAGTAATGTTATGTTTGTTATATTATATTAATTTCTTTGTTCAGTTCTAGTATGTTATGTTATGTTATGTTATGTTATGTTAAATTGTTTGTTATGTTATGTTATGTTAACTGGTTTGTTCGGTTCTAGTATGTTATGTTGGTTCTATTCTATTCTGTTCTGTTCTGTTATGTTATGTTAAACTGTTTGTTCAGTTCTGGTATGTTATGTTATGTTGGTTCCATTCTGTTCTGTTCTGTTCTGTTCATTTGTTTGTTCAGTTTTGGTTTGTTATGTTTGTTCCATTCTGTTCTGTTGTGTACAGTATGCTATTTTAGGTGTTGTGTTTTGTTAAGTAATGTTATGTTTGTTATATTATGTTGTTACTTAAAAGTTCCTAGTTCTGACTGATTTTCACACATTGATATTGCATGCCTACAATTCTGCTCATTCAGTAGGATGAGTTTAAATCCTCATTATTCATTCACAAAAACAATAGTGTGTGGAAAATTTTGCTCTGTCACCATTTAGCAGTTGTTGCATCACATTAGACCCGTTGAAGTTACATCTAAACAAACAGAGTAATGCAATGGTACTTTCTGTTTAGGTGAAATCTGGACGTACCTCCCGACCGGGCATCTCTCTTTCTCTGCTGTATGCTGATCCGTAAAATCACCTTTGCCAAAGAACACAGGTGATGAGTATACTGCTATCCCAGAATTCCCTGCCACCAGCACCTCGTACCCTGGAACAGACCTGGAGCGTGCTGGAGGAGAGGAGGAGAGCTGCACACGATGGATTCCTTCAAAAGTGTCCATCACTTAAAGTATTTTCCCAGTCCACCACCTCTCTCTCTTAAACACATAATCGCTGTGAATGCATTCACTTCAGCTGCATTTCTTACAGCCAGCCTAGTAAATATAGAGAGATTAGATTCAAGTTCAGAGATTAAGGCATTGTAGGTTTTTTTCTGCATGAATAACCTCTAAAGTTTCAATTCAGGTTATCAAAGTGTAACTAAAGCATTGCACCATAACCTAATGTTTGCAACAATGTAGTTAAATATATACCTAGCATGCTCTCAAAGAGACAAAACTGGAAAGTATTTAAATATAAAAAAGGATAAATACTCAGGCTACAACATTATCCTTATTATACATAAAAGTATAGAATAATGAGATATATTAAATAATTAGATATAATCTGTTTAAAGATGTAAATTGGAAATAAACAGAAAGGTGCATTTAATTAAGTGACAAAATGTTCGACAAAATGTTCAATAAAATGTTCTAGCTGCTTTTGACATAGAGATGGTGAAGTGTTAATGCCATTTTTAAATGTGCCATATAATGCATTAAATCTCTGAGTTCTTCCCATGTCAAATGCAAAGACAGAGCACAGAAAAATCAGCCTTACCCCAGTGACCTAGTGCAGCTCTTTCTCCACAGACTCTTTATGCAAGAGCACTTTCAAAAACCCCGTTCTCGTGAAATACACACACAGATACGATTTGCATGTTTTGAGCATCTAAACGGTTGCAGCTCTTCACATTGGGTGACTTGCACCTTCGTTCCAACCCTGAACGGAGTTCCAGCGCTTGTGGTCAGGCACGGGTTAATGAAATGAAACGGGGCCACACGCAGAGATGCATTTCTTCCACTAGAGGGCCCTGCATAGTGTACTAAACACCCTGCTGAGGGCCTCTGTGATCAGCAAGTTGTTATAGGAGCCTAAACTCCTCATGAATAATTAAGAAATGTTGATTATTTATTTCCTGTATATCTACATAATATTTACATAATTGCAATTAATACTTGATGCCTCTTTTCATCAAGAATGTGCATGAGTGTTTGTGCATGTGTGAGTTTTGAAAGATTTGCTCAGATTAACAAACCCCCCCAGTTTTCCACAATGCCTCTTTGTTAGTGGAAAACAGATTAACAGGTCAAGTGACCGGAGGTGTGGGCGTCTCATGTACTCAATCTTCCCCGTCTTTAACGGTTCCGGTAAATACCATCGACTCCCGAAACATCACACACTGTGAGTAGAGTTGCTTATTTCTTATAGATACAGTGTTTCAGGCCTACAGACAAGAAATGGAATGCAATTGCGTTTGATGTGATGTTTTGTGTTTCTCTTTTAATTATTCTTTTAAATCTCACATTTGCTTCAATTGTTGCAATCAGTTTAGGTGTTGATGTATGCTAACTAACATCAAAATAGCATCTGATTTCTGTTTGCACATGCACTATGTGATTTAGCCAGTGCTGAGCATGCATGCATGTGTTTCCTGGTATAGTTGTCTATACTTATCATCTCTAATCACAGTGAAAGGTCAGTAGAGACTGTGATTGACAGGCTGTGAGTGGTCTTCCTGTCCAGAGAGGGCAGCCATGACGGTGACATACTCACGGCGGGTGGCAGATGCGCGTCTGGGCACTTTTTATTGCCTGCTTCTGCGATGGAAAGGAAGCATCTATAAACTGTTATATCGAGAGCTGCTGATCTTCACTGTGATGTACGGCACAATCAGCATCACGTACAGGTGAACACTGATTCTTCACTTTCTTACAGTATTTGTGGCACTATGGCAAAGTGATGTTATAAGATAGTTATACCATGGTGCTTTGATATGTATCATGGTATTAAAAGACCTTCAGAAAGTGCCATGTTTTTAAGATATGTATCATGGTAGCACCATCAAGTACATAGTATAGTACGCAGAATACCATGGTGCTACCATTCCCGTATTAGTAGCAGCGTAGTATTTCTGGAAGTACATTGGAGTAACATGTATATATATCATTGGAACATGAATCGTATTTTTTAAGTTACATTGGAGTTACATGTTAATACCATTATATATTAATTTCAGTACCAGTGGTTGTACCATGGTACTTTTTTAGGTTTAAAATGTATACTCCAAAAGATGTTTCAAAGAAGGTAAATAAAAACATATTAATACTATGGTATTTTAATATATACCAGGATACATGATAATACCATGGTACTTTGATATACTCTTGTACTAAATGATTAACAAATCCATATACCGTGGTATTTCCAACTCACTGCGGAGAATTTATTGGTATTACCATGTTTTTTAACATTTAACCATAATAGCATAGTATTTCCAGATGTATGTTGGATTACAGTTTCAGTACCAAGTACCATGTGACCCAGTACTTTTTTGTAAGGCTAATATGCATATGGTACTCCAAAAGGTATTTTTAAAGAATACCATGGTACTTTAATATGTACCAGGATACTAAATGATTACCATATTCATATACAATGGCCACAATTTACCCTCACAGAGAAATGTAGGTCAGATATTTTAAGGTTCAGCAGTGACTTTTCTTTCTGTTTTAAAGAAGTTTTCTTTGGATTGTTTGATTACTCAATAGAGAATATAGGAAAATATAACTTAATTCATTTGTGTTTCCTGCTAGCTAAATTCCACATACACATACTGGCTCTAAACCTCTCTTTTCTTTATTCAGAGTTGATCTAGACAAGTATATGGAAACTATCCAATCTTAAAGCAGTGAAAACTGCATCTCTATATTCATCCTATGTGTCTTCTTAAGGTGAAAAAACATGGTTACTATAGGTAAACCGAGGTAAAAAGGATTCGCGATACACATTTTCTTTCAGTCTACAGTGTCAAAGTGTGTTACTTCTAATTGTTTTATTTAATAAAACCATCAGTTATTGAAATATGTGCTCTTTGATTGACAGGTGCATACTGACTGAAGAGCAGCGCAGGATGTTCGAGAAGCTCTCCGTGTACTGTGATCAGTACGCGCAACTGATTCCCTTGTCGTTCGTACTGGGTAAATGTGACTTACAGTAGGGCTTTCTTTGGATTAAAACAACCAATTCTTGACTTTTCTCACAGATGAAACTGTCCTGCAGGTTTCTACGTGACGCTTGTGGTGTCTCGTTGGTGGGGTCAGTACGAGAGCATCCCGTGGCCGGACCGTCTGTCAGCGCTGGTTAGCGGACACGTCCGGGGCGCAGATGAAGGGGCCAGACTCATCCGCAGGAGTCTAATGCGTTACGCCAACCTGTCGGGCATCCTGATCTACCGCTCGGTCAGCACCGCTGCCTACAAGAGGTTCCCGACCATGAGCCACCTCGTTCAAGCAGGTAAACTCCCAGATAGCACACGCACGTCTGCAAGATGTCTGTTAAAGATCGCTTGATCTGGAAAGCATCTGCTGTGTACAAACATCTCTAAGATTTCAGTTTTACATGCATTCTAAATCATAAACATCTTCTAAACGTCTATTTGACATCTGATAGGAAACGTCCTATAGACATAGGCTATTGCAGATGTGCAAACGCTCTAAAAAATACATCTTGCAGATGTAAATGCAGACGTCAAATAGACATCTCCGTTGAAGTCAAAAGTTTACATACCGCTTGCAGAATCTGTAAAATGTTCATTATTTTACCAAAATAAGAGGGATCATACAAAATGCATGTTATTTTTTATTTAGTACTGATCTGAATAAGATATTTCACATGGAAGACGTTTACATAGAGTCCACAAGAGAAAATAATAGTTGAATTTATAAAAATGTCCCCATGCAAAAGTTTACATATGCTTGATTCTTAACACTGTGTTGTTACCACAGCTGTTTTTTTTGTGTGTGATAGTTGTTCATGAGTCCCTTGTTTGTCCTGAACAGTTAAACTGCCTGCTGTTCTTCAGAAAAATCCTTCAGCTCCCACTAATTCTTTGGTTTTTCAGCATTTTTGTGTATTTGAACCCTTTCCAGCAGTGACTTCCAGCAATGATTTTGAGATCCATCTTTTCACACTGAGGACAACTGAGGGACTCATACACAACTATTACAGAAGGTTCAAACGCTCACTGATGCTCCTGAAGGAAACACATTTTTACATTTTGATTTGGAGATCAGGGTAAATTGAACTTATTTTGTCTTCTGGGAAACGTGAGTATCTTCTGTAGCTTCCGAAGGGCAATACTAAATGAAAAAAAAAAGATGATATTTAGGCAAAATAAGATTCTTCATTCTGTTCAATTCAGCTCTTAATGCATCGTGTTTCCTTCAGGAGCATCAGTGAGCGTTTGAACCTTCTGTAATAGTTGTGTTTGAGTCCCTCAATTGTCCTCGGTGTGAAAAGATGGATCTCAAAATCCTACAGTCACTGCTGGAAAGGGTTCAAATATGCAGAAGATGCTTGAAAACTGAAGAATCTGCAGGAGCTGGAGGATTTTTCTGAAGAACAGTGCTTAGTTTAACTGTTCAGAACAAACAAGGGACTCACGAACAACTATCACACAAAAAAACAAACAGCTGTGGATCATCCAGGTAACAACACAGTGTTAAGAAACAAGCATATGTTAACTTTTGCATGGGGTCATTTTTATAAATTCAACTATTATTTTCTCTTTTGGACTCTATGTAAACGTCTTTCACGTGAAATATCTTATTCAGATCAGTACTGAATAAAAAATAACATGCCTTTTGTATGATCCCTCTTATTTTGGTAAAATAATGAACATTTTGCAGATTCGTTGGTATGTAAACTTTTGACCTCAACTGAACGTGTGCTATCAGGGCTTTGATTCGGCCTAAGTAATCTGGCCTAGAACAGCGATTAAAGCCATGTTCTGTGCCGGTACCATTCAGATTTAAACTCAAACAGGAAGGAATTACGGCCAGATTCCTAAGAGCTTTGGCTGTTGAGAAATAGTTAAAGCAAACATGTAAATTCTCATTATTTACTCAACCCTCATGTCAAGTCACCTTTACTTATACAGTGCTTTATACAATATAGATTGTCTCAAAGCAGCTTCACACTAATAAACAGGAAAATACCACTGATAATATGTTGTAAAATTAATTAATTACTTGTGTGAAATGAGCTCAATTCTGTTCAATAACAGTGTTCTGAATTTAATTCTGCTATAAAGCAGCTTTACAGAAGACAGTAGCGTCTTTATTCAGCTCAAGTCAGTTCAGTAGTGTTGATGTTGCAAAGTTAAGGCATCTTTACACAGCCAAGTTAAGGCTGCTCTGTGCCTGCTCAGAATTCAGTGTAAAAACGCAATGTTGCATAAAATTATGCCGGCTCTAACCCACCTCAGCCCCTATTATTAAAGTACTGTATAAAGGTGCAATTGCTGTGTAAATGCATTCATGCCACCTCTGAGCAGCATTAAACAGTCTTTCTTTGTTGTGTCTAACACAAAAAAATGTGTTTGCATAATGTTCTGGACTGTTTTATTCTATACAATAAAAATGAATGGGGCTGAGAAGCTGCAAAAATGACATAAAAACACTGTAAAAGCACATCCCTGATAGCATACGTACATCACGGAGATGTCTATTTGACGTCTGCACTTACATCTGCAAGACGTATTTTTTAGAGTTTGCTCACCTGCGATACGTCTATAGGACGTTTCCTATCAGATGTCAAATAGACTTTTAGAAGATGTTTATGATTTAGAATGCATGTAAAACTGACATCTTAAAGACGTCTAGCAGATGTTTGTACACAGCAGATGCTTTCCAGATGAAGCGATCTTTAACAGACGTCTTGCAGACGTGCGTGTGCCATCTGGGATGAGTGGTATGAACACTTTGAGGATGATTTTTGGAGTGTCAGCATTCTTCATTTTGTGTTGCATGGAAGTGAGGAAGTCATATGGGTTGAAAACTCTCCTGTGCTCTAGGTCTGATGACGGCTGAGGAACTGAGGCAGTTAGAGGAACTGCCCTCCCCTCATAATAAGTTCTGGGTTCCCTGCATGTGGTTTGTCAGTCTGGCCATGAGAGCTCGATCTGAAGGACGCATCAATAATGATGTGGCAATGACCGCCATCCTCAACGTACGTCTACCTTACAAGCGAGTTTGAGGCTGTTTCATGAAACTTTTTGACTGAACCGTTTGATAAGAATCTTTTTTCTCTCTATTTCGGAAATCATGTAGTTTAAGTATTAATGGAGTTATGGAATTTCAGTAGTGACATCAGAATCAAAGTTATTCAGATGACAAGAACTCAATAAGTCTCCCAGTGAGCAATAGTTTGTTTTTAATCATGTTTTTCTCCTGGTAGGAGTTGAACACACTGCGCTCTCAGTGTATGAGGCTGTACGGCTATGACTGGATCAGTCTGCCTCTAGTTTACACACAGGTTTGATGGTTTAAACTCTTTATTTACTAGTACTAGTAATAGAGACAGAGGCGGAACTAGCCAGGCCCATAACATTTCAGATTTCCCTGAATAGATCCAAGCAAAGTCTAAAATGAATAATTTAATAAATTAAATAAAAAGAATAATTGACCAAATTTGTGACCAATCACTATTGATTAATTTAGAATATATATGATTAATCTCTGGTTGGAATGGGAAATGATCTCTAAATGATCTCTAATTGGTTGGAATGTGTAGCGATGATCTCTGATTGGTTGGAATGTGTAACGATGATCTCTGATTTGTTGGAATGTGTAGCGATGATCTCTGATTGGTTGGAATGTGTTGGAATGTGTAGCGATGATCTCTGATTGGTTGGAATGTGTAGCGGTGATCTCTGATTGGTTGGAATGTGTAACGATGATCTCTGATTGGTTGGAATGTGTTGGAATGTGTAACGATGATCTGTGATTGGTTGGAATGTGTAATGATGAATGTGTAGCGATGATCCCTGATTGGTTGGAATGTGTAGCGATGATCTCCGATTGGTTGGAATGTGTTGGAATGTGTAACGATGATCTGTGATTGGTTGGAATGTGTAATGATGAATGTGTAGCGATGATCCCTGATTGGTTGGAATGTGTAGCGATGATCTCCGATTGGTTGGAATGTGTTGGAATGTGTAACGATGATCTGTGATTGGTTGGAATGTGTAATGATGATCTGTGATTGGTTGGAACGTGTAGCGATGATCTCTGATTGGTTGGAACGTGTAGCGATGATCTGTGATTGGTTGGAATGTGTAATGATGAATGTGTAGCGATGATCCCTGATTGGTTGGAATGTGTAGCGATGATCTCCGATTGGTTGGAATGTGTAGCGATGATCTCTGATTGGTTGGAATGTGTAGCGATGATCTCCGATTGGTTGGAATGTGTTGGAATGTGTAACGATGATCTGTGATTGGTTGGAATGTGTAATGATGATCTGTGATTGGTTGGAACGTGTAGCGATGATCT